TACAAACTTGCATTTTAATTGATTTTGTTAAAGTGCCATCGAGTCAGTTCTGACTCATAGCAACCCATTATACTGTTTCCAAGGAGCAGCTGGTTGAGTGTAAAACACTGTCCTTGCAGTTCAAAACAAGCTTGCGGTCTTGTGTATTAGCCTACAGTGCCACACCAGGACTCCTGCATATGTATGTATGGTGGTGGTGGTTATGTGCCGTGGAGTCGGTTTCGACTCAATAGCGACCCTGTACAGGGTTTCCGAGGCTGTAATCTTTATTCATACGTGTATGAAAATAAGATACATATGTCTGTGTCTTATTTTCTTGCTCTTTCCACTAGAAGGCCAAGTAGAAAATAGAGCACCTAGTGCTCAAATCTTTATCTCTTCTAAAATCAAAACCCAAACCACTGCTATCAAATGTTCTTTCTGAATTAAGACCCTATTGTTGTTGTTAAGTGTCGTCAAGTCGGTTCTGACCCATAGTAATCCTGTATAGGGTTTCTAAGAAGTGGCTGGTGAGTTTCAACTGCCAACCTTGCAGATCAAGCCAACTTTACAGTCCAGTGCAATTAATGCGTCACACCAGGAATCCACAAAACCCTATTTGTTGTTACCGTTAAGTGCTGTCAAGTCAGTTACAACCCTTTAATGACCCTGTATAGGGTTTCAAAGAAGCAACTGCTGAGCTTGAACCACCGACCTTGAGGTTCAAAACAACTTTGCTGTCCAGCATATTAGCCCACAGCACCACACCAGAACTCCATAAGACCCTATAAGATAGAGTAAAACTAATACATAGGACTCAATCCACAATAAAAACCTTAAAAAAAAAAAAAATGGATGGGAGAGGGCTCTTCTAAACAGAGAACACTATGTATAAAGGATCCAAAGAAAGAGAGTACATTTCTAGGAACTTAAAAAATGACTCAAATAGAATGGATTCTGTCTATGTTGTAAAGAGGCATGCAGGCTTCAAGGCCTGGGTGGAGAGGGTGGACTTATAGATGCAATTGTGCCATCGATTCAACTCTGACTTGTGGAGATGTTATACAATAACCAAACAAAACATTGCCAGATCTTGCACCTTTCCTCATTACCTTTGACATGTTTGAGCCATTACTTTGACTGTTATGTCAGTCCATATCATTGATGTCTTCCCTCTACTTGCCAAACGTGATGTTCTTTTCTAAGGATTAAGCTTCCTTGATAATAGACCCAAAACAGCAGACAAAGTTTTGCCATCCTCACGTGTAAGTATTATTCTGACTTTATTTCTTCTAAGATTAGAGTTATGGAATATATATTAAAAACAGTGGTGATTCAGGGAAAGATTTGAAACACAGAGATTCTTGATTATATTAGGTTTTGAATGTCACTCAGCTGGTTTTGGAATATGGATTGGATGGGATGGGGTAGAATGCAAAACTTAGAGAAAGTAAGTCAGGGTCAAGGGCAAGATCGAGGTTTCCTGCCTTCCAAGCTGGAGCTTTTTCTGTACTGCACAGCATTTTTCTAATGTCCTTTGATGGTAACATGTCATGCCAAATGCATTCTCTTCACTTCTGGACATTTGCAGTGCTAACCCTTTGAGCTGCACTCCCTTCATTAAGTGAATATCCTATTCCCCTGACCAAGAATGTAATTACTGAAGGATAGATCAGATTAAAACTGAGTTTCTGTTAAAAAAAACAACAACTAATACATAGGGTTTCCAAAGCTGTAATCTTTATCAAAAGACTGAAATTATCTTTAACATTACCTCCCACTAATAGGAACAGGGTGCACTGGAGAAATGGCCAATTCCAAAGCCGGGAAGAGCAGGTACAAAATAAGCCTGACATATTATGCCAAAAAGAAAGGAAGTGGTCAAGAAAAATAAGGGGCACACTAAGGGAGTTCTCACTGGCTAAATATGGGACAATTCTGACACAAAAACACCACTGGAAATAAATAGGGACTCATAGTAGATGGGTAAGGAGGGGTTGGTAGTGGTGGTTATGTGCTGTGGAGTTAGGCTCTCAACTCATAGCGACCCTGTATAGGGATTTCCAAGGCTGTAAATCTTTACAGGAATAGAAAGTCTCATCTTTCTCCCATGGAGTGGCTGGTAGATCTGAATTGCTGACCTTGCAGTTAGAAGCTCAGCGCATAATCCACTATGCTACTAGAGCTCATTACGGAGGGAATTGTTGTTTGCTCCTAAGTGTTGTCAAGTCGGTTCCAACCCATAGTGACCAACCCTCTATAGGGTTTCTGAAGCGCTATATGCTTGAACTGAGCTTGAACCACTGACTCTGTGGTTCACAGCAACTTTGCAATCTAGCGCACACCACACCAAGATTCCTAAGGAGGGAATAGGTGAAGGTTATTATAGTGCCAATGGTAGAAGGTGTACTAGAGTTTGAAATTTATCATTTTGCAATCACAACAATAAAGATTTGATCAGTGAAGAGTTATCAATGGACAACAATTCACATAGCAAAAAGGATGAAACAATCTAAATGTCCATCAATGGATGAATGAATATATAAAATGTGGTATACACATCAATGAAATATTATTCAGTGCTAAAAGGAATAAAATACTTGAATACGCCAATGTGAATGAACCTTGAAAACATGCCAAGTAGAACATGCCAGACACAAATGTCACACACTGTTGTTCATTTTATTATGTTTTGTGAATTACATCTCAAATAACTTTAAATAAAAAAGAATACCCTCAATGAATGCCAAAATTTGGAAGAAATTTTCATGTGAAATAGAGATTTGCATAATATTAACGTACTCCTCACACACTTGTTACTAGTTTGGTGGGGGTGGGGAGGTGTAACTATACTGTGGAAAAACTGGACAACACCTTGACTGGGTAAGGAGCTCTGGTAGCGCAGTGGTTACGAATCGGGCTGCGAACCTTAAGGTCAGCGGTTTGAAACTACCAGCTGCTCCGCGGGAGAAAGATGAGGCTTTCTACTCCCGTAAAGATTTACACCCTCGGAAACCCTGTACAGGGTCGCTATGGGTCGGAACCGACTCGACGGCACTTAACAACAACAACAACAACCAGTCAGGAATAGACAATACATGGTGTATGCCCCGAGCTGTGTGACCTTGGAAAGGCCACATACAACTTCTGCAGCTGAGAACTTGATCTAATCATATGGAAACATGATTCCCAAAATGGGAAGTGACAGAAAAATGAACAAGATGATGAACATGATAATGTTAATGTCACTGGAATAACACATGTAAATAATGCTAAAATTGCAAATATTTTGCTACATATATATTTATCACAACACAAAATGAGAGGGGGCTGCATTTAAAAAATGTTAATTTTACAAAAGATTTTTTAAAAAAGATTATGAAAATGTTCACAATTAAGAGATTAGACATACTAAAATATGTATGAAAAAATGTTGAAAAAAGGGGGAACAGAATTTCAAAATCAAATGGATTCTAGACTACCTAGAGCCATGAACTCCTGAAACTATTGCCCTGAGATTATTTTTATACCTTAAAGCCAAAACTATCTCTTGAAGTCTTAAAACCAAACATTAATTTAGCTTAACTAGTGAAAAATGTCTGCCTTTTTTTTTTCCTCTACTAAGAACTACTCCCATGGAAAAGTGACTAAATTATATATCCATGTATGAGTTCTGCCCAGGTTTTTCTTTTAATTTAAAAAATCAAAAAAAACAAATCCAGTCTTTACAATTCTGAGATCAAAACTAGATTTTAGATGGTTACCTCTACCTGTGCTCTGACAGTATCACATTAGAGTGGCAGAATATGTGGAACAAAATTCAAAATTAGTAAAAACAAAACCAAAAACTGGGCTGACTGGTCAGAAAGAGACTGGAGGACCCTGAGACTATGACCCTCGACCACCCTTCAGATCTGGAAAGAAATGAACCCTTCGTGGCCCAGTTTTCAGCCACGCGGTAGACAGGTATATAGGAAGGACACCACCACCAGTAAGGTATGCTCACGATGGAAAGGTCAATCATCCAAAATCAAAAGAGTTTTTTAAGGACAAAGTTGAGAAGGGACAGGAAGGTGGGTGGAATACACATAGGAACTGCAAGGAGAAATGGGACGATTGTTGTTATATGGAGGGGATTGCAATCATTGAGCTGAAATAAAGTATACGGTATGTTGAATGTAAAACTGATGATCTTGTCTGTAAACCTTCACTCAATTCACAATAAAAAGCTTTTTTTTTTAAAAAAAAAAAAAAGGAGCTGAAGATTTTCTGGAAAATATTATCTCCTGTCATTATTTTTTAAAATTTCCATTGGTTAAGAGTTCCCCTAAATGTTCTGTTCCTTCATGAGTACATGTTACAATATATGCTTGTGAATGAATGAGTGGCTGAATCACTTAAAAAAAAAAATGTGGAATCAATTGATGACAGCAACTTAAAAGAGCAGATAGGAACTTTAGAAGGTAGTGAATTTATGTTACTGGGGAAAAAAACTTGGAAAATGAGGGTGAAAATGGCTGCACAACTCAAAGAATGCCACTAAATAATGCATGTAGAAACTGTTGGTTTAGTGTTTGTTTTGTTGTGTATATTCTCAAGAAAATTTGAAAAGAAAAAAAAAGGCGATTAAAGAGTTATAACAACTTAGGGCAATGCCCAATTCTAGACTGGATAATTTCTAAACAGAAACTACAAATGATATTTTGGAGTCAGTTGAAAATGGAAATACAATTGACTATGCAGAAATATTTTATTAATGCTAAACTGATTAAAGAGGGTAAATATATATGGTTCTATAACAAAGAATATCCCTAGTTTTAAGACGTATATAATGAAATGCATCACAGTAAAGGGTCATGATCTCATAATCTACCTTTAAAATGTTCAAAGTATGTGCATGCATACAGGGAGCTGGAGACAAAAATGTTGGTCCATTGTACCATCTCTACACAGATCAAAAAGGAAAATACTTAAAAATCTGACTTAAAATATTACATATGAGCTAAGAGGAGAAGGCATACCTGAATAGGAGATGGTTTTTCCCAGCCCATTTCAAAAATTCCCATCAATAACTCCCGTTTCAAACAATAATCTTCAAACTCATTTCCTTTTGTGGAGGTCACATCCTAGTTAAACAAACAAGAAAAATAGAACGAAGTATAATTGTGTTCTTTCGGTAGTGAACATGCTTAAAAAACTTGTCAAGAAGCTAGTTCTTTACCTACTCCATCTTAAATATAAACAGATCACTTTCCCTATATTTCAGCAATTACTTTCCCTTCAACCCACAAGCCATTCAAAACTATGTTTTACAGAAAAGGCCAACCTCTGGTCACAATCTTTTAAGGAGTGGTTGTTACTGTTGTTCCGACTTATAGTGACCCTGTATAGGGTTTCCAAGGAGCAGCTGGTGAGTTTGAACTGCTGACCTTGTGATTCAAATGACCTGAAGGACCAGTGATTATTTTGCAGAACCATACTAGGACTGGTAGAAAACTGTTGTTTCTGCACATACAAATAACATGTTGTGAACTGAAGTCAAATTCTGGCTGCACCACTCATTAACTACAATATGTTTGGCTAAGCCAACGTGTCTCAAGTTCAGCACTCTTCACATTTTGGGCCACAAAATTCTTTGTTGTAGAGGGCTGTCCTATAACATCTCCACAGTTGTGATAATAAAAATGTCTCTGTTGTTAAGTGCAGTAGAGTTGGTTCAATCTCAAAGCAACCTTGTTTAGGGTTTCCAAGGAGCAACTGGTGGGTTTGAACCGCTAACACTGTGGTTAGCAGTCCAGTGCTTATCCTATAGTGCCACAACAGAACTCTATCCAAAAATATGTCTCCAGACATTGCTAAATTCTCCTTGGAGGCAAAATCTGACTTGGCTGAGAATACTGGGTTAAGTGAACAGAAATCCTATACAGCGTTGCTGAGTTGGAACTGACTCGATGTCACTTAATAACAATAACAAAAAGTAAACACAGAATTTGTTACTATGAGTAACTACTTCACTTCTAGAGTTTCTACATTTTTCCATTTGAATTTTACAATCAACTTACCGAAGTTTTGATTCTTAGATCCTTTGGAGGGAGTTTTAAAGTCTTTTTCCAGTCATCACCAGGTCTATAAACAAAATAGAAAAATTGAAGTTTCAGAATTTTTACCATTGATGATAATGCAAAGATGATTCATCTCAATTATCAAATTCTAAACAAGCACAGTAAATTTAATATATTATGTGTGGTGCTGTGGGTTAATGCGCCAGACTGCAAAGCCGTTTGAACTGCAAGGTTGGTGGTTTAAGCTCACCAGCTGCTCCTCGGAAACCCTACACAGGGTCGCTATGGGTCAGAACCGACTCGACAGCACTTAACAACAACAAAGAACATAGTTAACTACATTGTCAGAAAACATTCTTTACACAAGGAGCAATAATCTACTGACATCAAGTCAGTTCCAACTCATAGTGACCCTGTATAGGGTTTCCGAGGAGTGGCTGGTGAGTTTGAATCAACAATCTTGTCATTCAAACTGACCTTGAGGTTGAGTGCTTATCCTATGGCACCACCTCAAAACTAGAAGTGAATAAAGCCATCCATCTATTAGCTAAAGAGAAAAGTTCAGTATATAGTATAGTTGTCACAATTGGCAATCCGTATGTATTTTGTTTGACTTATATAGCATATGGGCATGTTAATATTTTTAGTTGACAATATGAGTTTATATAAAAATCTATAGATTCTAGATTTCAATGCTCTAGCAACACTGGTTCCAAATTCCTGTATGGCAACAGTCTGGGGAAACTTAGTAAATGGAGTTTAAAATCAAGCAGCTGTTCCCTTTAAACAGGGCCATGAGTCTCATAGCAACTCAGCAGAACAGATTAGAATTAACCCACAGGGTTACCACAGCTGTGCTCTTTACTCCAAGGAGCTCTGGTAGCATAGTGGTTACGAGGTGGGATGTTAACCTCAAGGTCAGCAGTTCAAAACTACCTGTTGTTCCATGGGAGGACGTTAAGGCTTTCTGCTCCCGTAAACATTTACAGCCTCGGAAACCCTACTCAGGCTCACTATGAGTTAGACCTGACTCAACAGCACACCACTACCACCAATCTTTATTCCAGGAGAACCTACCATACATCTCTTACCCACAGTCACAACGGTGAATTGAAGACAACTTTTCACCTTGAATCTGAGTGCTTTAAACATGGTGACTCCAGAGCATTTTCAAATGCCCTCTAATATGGCATAGTCTACTTTAAGCATCTGAGTGAGTTTTAAACTTCTGTTGACTAAAGCCACGTGTTCTGAAATTTCAGACCTGGGTTCCAAGTTCTGCAACTTTGCATAACTTACTTTTCTAAGTCTCCATTTTCTAGATCGAAAATGGGTTATTAAGAATTATAAGAAGGAATTTTTATAAACACGCAGCCAGCATAGTGCGTGGCAAAAATTGGACCTCAGTATTTGCTGTTAAGGAACAGCTCTCAATCTTTTTACTGAGATGCTAAAAACTATGAAAAAGAAAAAAATATATAAAAATGTCCTTTTGGTCAGGTAAAAATCTCAACTGCTATAATTAACACCCAAAGCATCTAATTGGAAAAAAAAGTATTAGGAAATGTTTGCAGACAATAGTGCTTTCAACTGAGTAGTCTTTAAAATAAGCAGCATTTTCATAGATTTCATTATTGCTATTCTTATACAATCAGTGTCCCTAAAACATCTCAGCCGTAACTTAAAAAGAGCATTCATTTTAATTAAAGCCAGGTCCTACATAATCCAAGACAGTCTAACACAGATAAATATTTACTACCAGATCCAAAGATACCAAAACCTTTCACCTCAGTGGATAATATCAAAGTTTCTAAACAAAAATGTCAGTTCACCATAATAGATTTGTCACATTGTCAAATTCAACAAATAATTAATACAAATGGAGAAGATATTAATGCAAAATTTGTCTACAAGGGACCTGGAAGGTCAAAACAAAACAAAACAAATACGGGTGACTGTAAGTGATAGAGGTAAATACTGTCCCAAATCAAACAGTTTAAAATACTGTCATTTCATAAAATTACATTGTTTTATATGATTTCACCCTCAAATTAAGAAACCTGAATTTTACTAGTCTATGGTTTGATCCCACCAGTCACTACGCAGGAGAAAGATGAAGCTTCTCCCACACATACTTACAGCATCAGAAACCCTTTACAGGGTTGCTATGAGTCAGAATCTTCTCGACAGCACTTAACAGTAACAGTTTACCTAAAGACAAAACCACTTGAAAATATTCTTGCTTTCTATATTTACTAATGAAGTCGTGGTATGGTGCTATAGGATAAGCATTGGCCCACAAGGTCGGTTTGAACCCCAAGGTCGGTGATTCAAACTCACCAACCATTCCTCGGAAACCCTATAGAGTCACTATGAGTCAGAATTCGATTCGATGGCATTTAACAACAACATACTTACTGAAACAATAATAAGATTGCCTTATTGTTTTAGTAAGTAAAACAGTACTACTTTAAACGTTAACAGAATGTGCATTAATGCCAAATTTCCCAGTGACCAGATCAATGTATTGAAAATTAACCCTTAAAGATTACTAGAGAACTACATATCAGTAATTATCTACAAGGGGACTTCAAAAAGTTTGTGAAAAAATGGAATTTTTCCATCAACTTTTTGAAGTTCCCTCATATATGGCATCCTGCTATCTTATGAAGCCTAATTTCTTTAGGAGTGCTTCTTAAGCATGGAAGGGACCTAGGGGTGTAGGTAGTAAGACATACAGTTACTTTCATGAACCAAAATTTCATCACCTTATGAATAGTTCTATAAATTGTATCAAGTTAGAAGGCTACTAGATTCTTAACAAAAACTCAATCTCAAATGGAGTTAAAGAATCAGACATCTTTAACAGATAATTTTCTTTGTTTTTAGAGTGACAGTACTCAAATAATTTAATGTGTGCACTTATACATGACAACTAGCCTACAAAATTTTGGCTTTGAGAGACGAAACATCCCAGATATAGTAAACTTGGTTGGTGGTAGTGGTTGTGTGCTGAGTTGGTTCTGACTCATAGAGACCCCGTATAGGGTTTCCGAGGAAGTTGAAAACCTCTTCTTCCTCACACGGAGCAATTGGTAGATTTGAACTACTGACCTTGCGGTTAGCAGCCAACTTGTACTTCACTATGCTACCAAGGCTCCTTATAGTAAAACTAGTTTCTTTTATTAAGAGTCAACAGACGATTTAAGACTATTCAGAAATGGGCATTTCCAACCATTCAGAATAGATTCTTATTTTGTTTGTGTGAAGGGAGGGAAAGCTTTTTCAGAAGCAAAAAAGTACACTATAAAAAGTTAAGAATGTATTTTCTATAAGCAAATGAATATGCTTAAGAGTTCAGAAGGCTAGGCAAGTGTGACTCTAAATTCAAAACTTGAATTTGGCTTTAACCTATGCTTAATAAAGACAGGTTGGTAGCCTGTAGGTTAGGTTAGGCTGCTATCTACAAGATTGGAGGTTCAAACCCACTGGCCATTCTAAGTCTTTCTCTCTGAAAGACTTACATTATTGAAAACCTTATGTCGGGTCACTATGAGTTGGAATCGACTCAATGGCAGTGAGTTTGGTTTATGAGATGCTTAATAAACTAAGACAACATGCCCCTTACACTAAAAACAACTATACCGGCAAAAATAAAATGAATCTTATTTCATTCGCATATAACAAATCCAGCTAATAATTTCTACACTAAGATTATGAAAGCTAGAAAGGATTCAATTAATAATCTATACAAAACTGACATATACTATCTGCTACCCGAGTTTATTACTTAATAAACCTTAATTAACTATGACACATTTCTGTGCTATTGCTAATGCCTTGTTTTTATGTGCCATCGAGTCGGTTCCCACTCAGCAATCCTGTATAGAGTTCCCAATGGAGTGGCCGGTGAGTCTGAACCACCTTGTGGTTCAAACCAACCTTATGGTAGAGTGCTTATCCTACAGTGCCACACCAGGATTCCATTGTAAATACCTAGAAGGGATAAAACATGTCCTTCATTTGCAATCAATAGTTAAGGTATACATAAAGCAATCAGCAACAAAGTAACAAATTTCTTTAGTCCCTCAAGTGTATATTATTTATTTGAACACTTACTTAATAGTGGTGGTCATACTCTGTGCTTGCTGCTGAGTGCCATTATTGATTGTGTTGGTGTTTTTCAGCTGGTTCAATTGTTGCTGTGTCTGTGTTCCCCCTCCTCCAGGGCCACCACTGGGTTTCACAGGGCCCCTCAGCTGACCATTTTGACTGGATAGACCCATTATAACAGGGTTTTCTGTTCTGGCCGTGCTCATGCTGTGTTAATTGTAAAGATGTCTCTTTCAAACTTTAAAACTTTTGAAAGTCAGTAGAGAAACTGTAATAACAGTTTATTAAGCTCTCCAAAATGAAGAGATAAATATAAGTCTTGCTCAATATATGAGTCCTTTATTGCAATGCAGGCAAGCACCTGTAAGTCTCTGATCGGTAAGCAGCAGTAACTTGCTCCCATGCACCGAATCAACTTTTTATTTTTAAAAAGCCCTCTATCAAGGTTGAGTTGTATCTGAATTCACTCACTTCAATCTGAAACAAACAAAAATTAAATTAGCAACAGAGGAAAGTCAGAAAAAAACGTGTTTTCCTTCTAAATAATTCACTTAAACAACACCCTTAAAAGGACTCATCTTTTAAAGAATTAAGATAATTCATACTTAAACCAAATTACTATCCAGACTAGAAATGACACAGAAAAATAAAGTGCCTCAAAACCAATTTACAAATCTATCTCAAATATCTTAACCAGTATCCTAATTGCCAGTTCAATAGTAGTTTGAGAAATTGGAAAAATACTATAAAACAGCATTAATCGTAAATGAAAATCTCTCTGCTTCACTTTCCTCCCTGCATTCTTTAAAGTTTCAACAACCTCTAAAAGTCAACAATTCATTACACTTAGTAATTACATTATAACTTACTGAAGTATCACACAATGTCCTAATGTCAATCTACCTATGAACAGAGCAAAACAATTTTTTTCTATCTCTTATTGCAACTGAGTCTTTGAAGAGTCAAGCAGGTTTTCTACCTTTTTTATACAATCAGAAAAACACCCTGTGTCCTTCTGAATTTCAACTATAGAAGTTGAATTTTATGGAGAAAAATGTTTCTTTTTCCCTTACGTTTTTGCTCCTTAAAATAGTGACAAAGCAATCAAGGGACATGGACATGTATACATGTCAAAAACTTTTCCTTGACAAACAGCCAAAAAAACTTTACTTATATTATTGTTCAAAATTAAAAATACATAGTGAAAGTTTCCTGTGTAAAAGGAAGTGTCTATGAAAAGGAAAGCACACTAGTGACTTTAATAAACCCTTCCAAAAAACGCAGAGTACTAAATTTAACTAAATATGAATTGAAAAAGAACTGGCCAAATTCCACTACTTTAAATTCTGTTCCCAAAATCGAACTATTTAAAAAAATTAGTAAATAAGTTACAAAGCCCAGCAAACAAAGACTACTGTTGTTGTTTTTTAAACTTTTACTTTTCTTACCAAAAATCCACTACCTTATTAATCAATGCTGCTTATGTTTGCCATATATCATGGCATCTCAAGTTCGAGATTATAAAATGCTCCTTTATTACGTCTTTCTCTTTCAATTGTCAATCAGGTTACTTAAAAGCCAAACCTACTTATCACAAACACAAGAGCTGTGGATGTTTCTCTGCATCTGACTTTGCACTTGAGCAGACCATGGTGAACAGCCACGTAATTTCAGTTTTAAGCCTATAAACAGTTTCCTGTACTGACAGGTTTATATTATTACGGTCAACAATATCATCTAGTTCATGTAGACAAACAGGGAGCCTTTGTCTGCAAGGTACTAAAAGGATGAAGAGGGCAACCTGTGAAGATTAACAATACTACTATCCATCAGGCAAAACAGGACTTCTTTTCTCCCTAGACCCAAAATGTGACTCTGCGGCTTTGTTTCAAAGAAGGAAATTATTTCCTCTGCCCCTCTTCCTAATTTAGATTTGCAAATTACATCTCTACATTGAAAAATAAAAAGGAAAGGTAACTAGTCGGGAGGAACCACTGGTGAAGTTAATTACAGCATTTTCCAGGTTGCAGTTGGCAACTGGCAGTTTCACACCCCAAACATTATTGTCATCTCCAACAGCTTTTGTTTGCAAATGCATCGCAGTTTCTTTGCTAGATAGGCAAGTTGAAGTTACAGGCAGTCCCTGGGGGTTACAAACTAAACCCCCACTCCTAAAGCCTAGTATTAAAAAATTCCAGGTACATATACAATGGCTCATTAATACCAAACGGTGGCGCTACTTAGTGACAGACATCAAAATATTATTATTACTGTATTATGTTAAAAGATGTTTTGTGTCTAGAAGTGTTTCCTTCGATTTCTTTTTAATGCACAGAAAGGCATTATTATATACTCTTAAATTAAAGGGACTTCAAAACGTTGGTGGAAAATGGAATGGAAAGATCCTGTATTTTCCCACGCACCCTCATACACACGAAGGCAAACACTTGGCTAGTTCTGTTAGATATGTACCGCATCTAACTGTTCCAACTTACATCGGAACACAGACTTAGGAACGGCGAACTGTCTGTCTATAACCGGGATTTGATTCTGCGGGCTAAAAGGAGGCTGTGCAAGAGAAAAGGGCCTGAGAGCGAAGTGAAGAGACAAGCCAAAGGACCGCAGCCCGGTTTTCTGAGGCAGCCACTTCAGATCTACCTTCCCCGCACCCCAAGCCCTCACACACTGGGAAGTCAGCTTCCTCCGGGCATACACACAAAAGGGTTGGTGCACCGCAATCGTAGCTGCGCAACATGAGCCGAGAACCAGCTCCGCAGGCAGGAAACAATGGGGGCTCTTTCCTTCAGGCCTCTAAGAGACACCCCTAACTCTGAAAGCTTTTCATCCCTCCACGACTCAGGGGACTCCACAAACACACTCCTACTACCGATCTGAAAGGCCCATCCCAACCCAGCTGCTGCCAGTCCTCTTGTGAGAGTCCTCCAAAGCAGCAAAGCCATGCCGCCCCCTATAGGGCCTCCTCGTACCCTATAACCTCCACCTCCCAACCCCCTAGTCCTTTCGCTCCCTCTGGTCCCATATTCATCTTCGAAAAAGCTCCTCCGAGTTCTTCGCAGCTCGTTGTGTAGCCGGGCCCCACCGCGCACGGCCTGCCTCTATTCGGCTCCCCGCAGGCGCCCCCGCCCCACACAGCAGCCGGCTCGCTGCCCGCCGGCCTCCCCAGGACCTGGGCCCGGCCTTAGGCCTCCGCCTCGGAGAGCGCCCGCGCCGGGCTCGAAAGGCTTCCTCTAGCCACGGATACCCCTCGGACGTCGGCCCCACTGTCTCACCCTGCTCCCTACGGCTCGGGCTTGAGTCCTACCACCGAGGCCACTCCCGCTCAGCACCCTCGGTCCTTTATTGTTGACTCGAAGCTCCCAAAATGGCGGCGGCTCCTTCCTTCTTGGAAACCTCCACCCGCCCCCACCCAGCCCCCTCGCATTGGCCTCCTCCCACCCCCGCCCTGCTCTAGGGGCCGCTCGACTGAACAGCCCGAGCCGGCCCGGCAGTCCCGGGCCGCCTGCCCTACCTCCGCCGCTGCCCGCTCTCATGGCGCCACTGAAGTCGCCGCCCGGGCTGAGCTAACTCGGCTCCTCTGCCCCCTCCCTCGCTCGCTCGCTCGCCCGCGGCCTCCCCCTGTCCTTCCCAGTCTCTCCGCATGGCGGCAGCCGCGGCTCCTCCTCCACTCAAGATGGCGAGAAGGCGCCAGCCGCCGCCGATGTGCCCGCCACGGCGTCACGGCCTCTCCTGCTTTGCGGCAGAAGAAATGCAGCCCCCGGAGCCTCCCTGAGGAGAAAATGGTGGCTCCGGTTTTCTCACTGATGGAGGGACCAGCGGGTACCCAGGTTGAGAGAAAAGTTGAAGGGGAAATATGGTTTCCTTTCTAAGCAGAAAGGAGTTCTTGTTCCACAATTGAGAAATGTTTGGAAGGGAAAATGAGGGGTGGAAAAAGTCCGCCCTGGCTTTGCCCCTAAAAATTAAAATCGGTGATTACAACCCAAGGAGAATCTGCTTACTCCTGACTAAGGGCATGTTCGGAGAACGGCCTCTTCGGGCGGCGGCTCGGGAACAGAGCTGATCTGACTTCTCTCAGGCGCTGGGGAGCCACTGCTCGACCGAGGGAGGCGCATCCGAACCCCTCCAGTTCGAGCCTCCATCCTGGAACGAATGTCCCGGAGGTGCGGGCGCGCACCCGGGGTGAGGGCCGGAAGGGGGTCGGGCGGGCCGTGAGGGGTGAGGGGCCGGGGACCGACCTCGGAGAGCGCGCGAGGCCGGGAGAGCGCGCTTGGAGGACGGCGGGTTCCCGGCTCGAGACTGGGGCAGTGGCCCTGTCAACCGGTCCCGATTGTCAGTCCTCAAACAAGAAGGGGCGGAGGCCCGAGCTCCCCTAGAGAAGGACGGAAGCTTCTGGAGAATCAGTCTCATGAAACTGCTTCTCTAAGGAAATGAGGAACCAGAAGCGGCAGCTGTTCGTTTTCCTGCCCGACGCTCACGAGAGAAAGACATTTGTTCCCACAATTTCTTTTCATATTCACGACCCTCACGTCTCTGTTTTTCCTGGAATGCGATCTTGTCCCAGCTAAAATAGAAATCTGGAAGTAAAACGCTAACTAGGTCAAAGGAAAATATAAACCTGGGCCTCCCTCCGCCGAGAGACTGACTATATAAAGGGACAGTATATGACAATACTCCGACCGACAACCTCTGCAGCAAGTTCGGGAAGCCAAACCACAGCCTCTGCAGCAATCAGTCCCAGAAGGGTCAACGAGTGCCAACTTCCCTATTTTTTGCCCCACTTCCAACTCAGAACCAATCAGAGAAAGCCAAATGTGTTCCCCACACCAATCACAAAATATGTCGTCCCCCCCACCCCCACTTCTTGTTAGCCCGCCTCCAGCTTCCCCATGCCAACAACCTCCAATCATAGCATTCCTGAAGCTTAGACTTATTTCACTATAAAGCTTCCCCCTTTCCCTTGCTGGCCTTGAAGTATTTACCAAATCAAGTGATGGTGGCTGATTACCTTGCTCTATAACAACCATTGGATAAAGCTCAGGCGTTGGTGCTTATTTGATGGTCTTTATTTCCACACAGCCAATAGGAAGAGAGGAGTGTAAAAGGTTATTCTTGAAATTAAACAAGTCCCCCTTAACAGTTTGTTCAATTCTACATGTATAGCATGTCATCGCCCAGACAGGTTTTAAAACACCTACTCGTGTAAGGGAATAATCCTGTGCCTTGTGCTCCTCCTAGAGAAAAAGTGTGGCTAAATGGCTTTTTAATAAAAGATCATTTGTGTGGACTTGTTTGACGCATTATCTTCCCCAGCAGTAGGAATGAGAAAGGGAGATCACTTACTTATGGGATCTCTCTAGGTCAGGCAGAGGAGAGGAACTTGCGATCACAAATAAACTTACCTTCCAGAGGATGGTTTGGTTGAAGTAACCACAAGAACAAAAGACAGGAGGCAACCAAAGTGGAGTATTTAGTTACTGCCTCTTCTCACCTAGGAATCCTTCCAGGGCTAAAACCTTTATTGATGTTGTTGTTAAGTGCGGTCCAGTCAATTCCTACCCATAGTGACCCAGTATAGGGTTTCCAAGGAGCAGCTGGTGAGCTTGAACCACCGACCTTGCAGTTCAACCAGCTTTGCAGTCTGGCGCATGAACCCACAGCACCACACCAGGACTCCAAAACCTTAATAGGTTCCTTTCAATGTCTTTATAAAAAATAGTCCAATGCCTTTGTTGCTAGCTGCCCCAGGGAGTCAGTTCCCTACTCATGGAAAATTCATGCACAATGAAATAAAATGTTGCCCAGTCAGACCATTGTACTCCATGGGGTTTTCATTGGCTGATTTTCAGAACTAGATTGCACTGCTTTTCTAGTCTTTCTTCAATCTGGAAAGTCTGCTGAAACCTGTTCAGCATCATAGCAGCACATAAGCCTTCATTGATAGGATTCCCCTGAGATAGATAAATCAGCCAGGAAATGAGCCTGGGTCTCCCAAGTGGAAAACAAGAATTCCATGAGTTTTACTACTGAACCACCACCAATGCCCTCAAACCAGTTGCCTTAGAGTTGGCTCTGACTGACTAAGATCCCATGTGTTCTGTATGATTGTCAATGGCTGAGTTTTTGGAAGATTGTTCTTATTGTTGTTATGTGCCGTGGAGTCGGTTCCGACTCATAGCGACCCTGCATAGGGTTTCCGAGGCTGTAAATCTTTACGGAAGTAGAAAGCCTCAACTTTCTCCCACGGAACAGCTGGTAGTTTTGAACTGCTGAACTTGCGGCTCGCAGCCCAATTCATAACCACAATTATTATTTATTATTAAGTGCCATTGAGTCAGTTCCAACTCATAGCAACCCTATATAAATTTTGAACCTCCAACTTGTGGTCCAGTGCATTATCCTGCAGCAACAGCCAGGCCTTTTTTTCCAGTTCATCTCTTTGTGTGGATTTGAACCTCCAACCTTTCTGCTAGTAACCAAGCTCTTTAACTTTTTGCACCATTCAGGGACCCTCCAAGTTAGCCCTTTCCAGTCTTCTAGTGAGATAGCATGGATGGTACAGAATTAAGCTTTGAACCCTTGGAGCTTATGATCTTCTGGGCTCTATTTTATGTGATGCTGCAGGATAAGCACTGGTCTATTAACCACAAGGTCGGAAGTTCAAACCTACAAGCTGCTCTCAGAAACCCTGAGTCAGAACCGACCCCAAAGCACACAACAATAACAACAACAACAACATATCCAATCCAGAGCCTTGGTGTGGCACTGTAGGATAAGCCCTGGACTGCTAACCACAAGATTGGCAGTTCAAACCAACCAACCACTCTAGGAAACCCCAGACAGGGTCTCTATGAGTCAGAACTGACTTGATGGCACACAACAACAACAACATAACAAGCCCATCAATCTCAACACAAAAATCAGAAAATGACTCTCTAGGTATGCAGGCAAATGATTTCTAAACACACATACTGTCCTTAAAGTAGTTATACTTTATATAAATATGCACAAAGCATTTATACTTTAATATTTATCAAATGAAGGAACCCTGTTGATTTAGTGGTTAAAACGCTCAGTAGATGGGTGGTTCAAACTCTTCAGTCGCTCCATGGGAGAAAGATGTGAGAGTCCACTTCTGTAAAGAGTGTCATTGTTAGCTGTTGTCAAATTGGTTCAGACTCATAGTAACCCTATGTACAATAGAACGAAGCACTGCCCAGTCTTGCTCCATTGTTACAATCAGTGTTAGATTACCCAATAAACAAGGTAAGCACTGTCATGAACAATTTCACATTTTTCACCACATCAAAGATTCTGTTTCTAGGTGGGACTGGCACCTGTCTTTCTCCCAAACCCACGATCCCTTCTTACAGAATCAAAACCTCTTTTCAAGTTTACAATCCATGACAGGGATGGAGTACCCAGTAAGCAAGGTAAAGCAAACAGTCATTAAAAACACAGGAAAGAAAGAAAAGACCAAAACGGATGTCAGAAAAGACTCTGAAATTTGCTTTTAAGAGAACAGAGAAGCTAAAGCAACCGGAAGAAATGAGGAAGTAAAAGAGCTGAAAAGAAACTTTCAAAGGGCAGTTTGAGAAGACAAAGTCAAGTATTATAATGAAATTGTAAAGATCTGGAGTTAGAAATCTGAAAGGGAAGAACATGCTCAGCATTTCTCAAACTGAGGGAACTGAAGAAAAAATTCAAGCCTCGACTTGCAATATTGAAGGTGGACTGTGAACCACAAGGTTGGCAGTTCAAACCCACCAGCTGCTCCTTGGAAACCCTAAACAGGGTCGCTATGAGTCAAACTAACTTGACGACACTTAACAACAACAGCAAATGGGCAAAATATTGAATAATACAGGAAGCATCAAAAGAAGTGGTGAAACAATATACGACAGGATGAATATAAGGCTAATGTTCTCCCATGTGTACTATCACATAATTCACAATAAAACATTTACTACAACAACAAAAAACAAAACAAAACAAAAAACTCTTCAAAATAAATAAATAGATAAATGTTCCTGGTTGTCTAGGAAAAAAAAGAAGATGGAATACAGTCATAGTACCAAAAAGAAATGGATGATGCTTAACCATTTCTGTCCTCATTCATTTACCTAAAAATAGTAGAAGGAAAACAAAACAAAATTCAAAACATTAAAACCCTCACAATGGGTTAATTTACACTGGATTTTACTGTAGCTTCCATTGAACATATTTAGAACCAAATTCCAAGTAATGTGACCCTCTGGAATACATACATCTGTGATAAGATTTTTAAAATCCTGTTTTCAACATGCTAAATTGGATTTCACACTTTTAATTTTCTGTACCTTTTTGTTTGTTTTTTTAAAGAAGTGTAATAGTTTGCTTTGTTTTTCAATTCATAATTACAAATATGTTTATCACCTAGAAGAAAAAAGTTTCACCTATAAAATATCTTCAATAAAGTGATTATGTCACCCTGGCTAAGCTTCTAGTAGAGTCCTGGTGTGGCTCTGTGGATTAATGCGCTGAACTGCAAAGTCAGTTTGAACTGTAAATTCA